AAACTGGCTTGTTTACATATCTGAGATCTCCCACTAGCATTCCAATTATTTAGTTTTAGCATTATTTATCACATTCCATACCAAAATGCAAGTTATAATGTGTTACCATAATTCTCTCTTTTCCTGTCTTTCTGTCTTTGTCTGCACCTCACTCTCTCTTTTGCTTTCTGCTTTCACTAAGTCTAAAATTACAGTGTCCCAAATTGTATTTAATTTGATTTCCCACTTCTGCTACTTACTAGTGTAACATTTCTTTTTATTATAAATGAAACATTGAAACATGGATTCAGCCTGTGATGAGATTCAAATAATTTAACAACTGGTTCTGTGACCTAATGTCTGACTGGGTAGTCATGGCTGCATGGGCATGTGACTGGGTGGGAATGGCTAACTTGATGTCACTCACTTCAAGGGGCACTTTGCCTCCCATGGCTCCTCATGACTGTAGGGATGCTGCAATGGTCATAAGTGGGAAAAAAGGTTGATAGATAAAGGGAGAGAGAGAGAGAGAGAGAGCTAGAAAGAGAAATAGAGAGATAAAGAAATACAGTGGGTAGGTGGGGGGGAGATAGAGAGAGAGATATATAGAGAGAAATACAGTAGATAGGTAGGGGTAGAGAGAGAGAGAGTATGTAGGTTGGTAGCAGTGGTGGGTTTTTGCCAGTTCGCACCAGTTCGGGCGAACCAGTTTGTGAAATTCAGCAAGCCGGTGAGAGGAGGTTCGACCGGTGGACCTGGAAGAAACTTCCGGGAATGCCTGCACCGGCCCTGTCGCTCAATCGCCTTTGCTGTCCCATCATAACTCACTCATTACCCCGCCTGTCCACACTAAACTAGGCTAGCCTAACCCACCGCTCACTGATTGCCTTGAGTACAGAAGATCAGTGATCGGGCTGGAGGTAGCCTGTTTAAAAGTGTAGTGGAAACGGTGAACATTCCTCTTTTGAAAAGAGTCTTTCTCTTTTGGAGACTTCTTGTTTCAAAAGAGTCTTTCATTCTGGAGCAGCTGTTGCATCTCGCTTGCTGACCGGGTCCTCCATTTCAACTCCCTTTGCCTCCCAGAAGCTTGCTGCTTCCCTCAGGTAAGCAACTAAGTGCAAGAGGGGGAGAGGGACTAGGGAGGCTAGCTTATGCCAGCTCATGAAATCTATGAGCTGGCATATACAGTGTGGCTGAAAGTGGGTGGGCGGTGGCAGAGGTGGCAGTGGCAGCCTAGCTTTTGTGAGAGAAGGCCTTCAGGCCTTCCATAGCAACAGCCACAGGCTGGTGTATGCCACGCGGCCGAAAGTGGGTGGGCGGCAGTGGTGGTGGCCTAGCTTTTGTGATGGAAGGCCTTTAGGCCTTCCCTAGGGAAAGCCATAGGCTGGTATACACCATGTGGCTGAAAGTAGGTGTGCAGTGGTGGCCTAGCTTTCACCAAAGCTGTGGGCTGGCAACCGCCATGTGGCCAAAAGCAGATGGGTGGTGGCGATTGCAGGGATGGTGGCTTAGTTTTCACAAGGGAAGTCCTGAATGGCTGGTGTATGCCACGTGGCCGAAAGCAGGTGGGTGGTGGCGGCAGCGGCCTAGCTTTCACGTGGTAAGGCCTACATGCCTTCCCTAGCGAAAGCCGTGGTCTGGCATATGCCACACAGCCAAAAGCAGGTGGGCAGCAGCCACAGTGGCCTAGCTTTTGCAAAAGCTGCGGGCTGATGTACGCCACACAGCCGAAAGCCTCCCGCCTGCCTCTCCAGCCTCACCTGGCTGGCTAAGCCTGCCAGGCGGCATGCTTAGGGACAACCCTTGTCCCTCCAGTGACCAGTCCAGTCTTATCTGCTGCCTCGCTGCCTGCCTGACTGCTCCCTGTTGCATCCATCCATCAATCATATCGGAGAAATGCTGATTCTGTCTGCTGGTTAGTGACCCAAGTTTTTTTCTATCCAAAATAAATTAAAATAAACCATCTTTAAAAATTCTATAGTCAATACTTTAAAATGTATTGTGCATAGAATTTTTTAAAATAGTTTTAGTTAAAAGTCTTGAGTATAGAATATTTTGAAATGGTTTACTTCAATTTATTGTGTGTGGATTCTTTTTTTAAATTGTCTTAGTCTATTTAAAAAAAGATTCTATCCAAAATAAATTAAAATAAACCATTTTTAAAAATTTTATACTCAATACTTTAAAGTGTATTGTGCATAGAATTGTTTTAAATCATTTTATTGTAATTTATTGTGTATGGAATATTTTAAATGGTTTCATTTTAAATTATTGTCTATGGAATAGTTTGAAATGGTTACTGTATAAATTATTGCTGGTGGAATAATGGTTATAGTATACTATGGCTGGGACAACTACAATACCTTAAAATGGTTACAGTATAAATTATTGCTGGTGGAATACTTAACAATAGTTTTTAAGGATTTTTATTTATTTATAGAATATCTTTTTTAAAATTATTTTTAGGGATTTTTTATTTTTTAATTGTTTATAAGATATATTTACTACAAGAAATGTTATTCCTTTTTGCAAATGTTTTCTTTGTGATGCAATATGTTGCTTTTAAATGTTCAGACCAGGTTTATGTGTCTCAAAATGGATGCTTTTCTATGAGCAGGTGAAGTTGGTGCAAGGCA